CATATAAATAATTTAAATGTTAATTTAATGAAATATTTCTATTTTTTCATTACCTCACCCTTGTTTTGACAAAAACGGAACCTTGCTGGATAATATCATGGAGAAACTATTTGTTCACAGTACATGGCTCAGTGAGGATCTGTGTAAAGGAGGAGATACTCAGAAATCTGTCTGCAGATTGTTACAACCCAGACTGGAAGTGGTGGGCTGTAATAAGAAAGGAGACCAAACAGAGGAGTGGGGGTTCAACAACTGACTTATTTAACAAAAGTAAGGATTTACTAAAGCAAGTTAGTGAACAGAAAATGGCCAGTGAGGACTCTCCACCACACAGGAGAGACCCAGTGAAAGCAGAAAAACAGTAGGCTTTGTAGGCAGCACCACACCCTGAGCCCAGGTGCCTCCAAGGCTGCTTAACGAGCTGCCTACAACAGAAGAAAAACACAATTAAACACAAATGAAAACCCAATGAGACGGTGGGGGCATCACAACACGTTCAGGACTACCCAAACACCAGTAATTCTTGACTGCACTGATCTGCTTTAGTAAATCCTTACTTTGGTTAAATAAATCAGTTGTTGAACCCCCACTCCTCTGTTTGGTCTCCTTTCTTATTACAGCCCACCACTTCCAGTCTGGGTTGTAACAATCTGCAGACAGATTTCTGAGTATCTCCTCCTTTGGTACACAGATCCTCACTGAGCCAAGTACTGTGAACAAATAGTTTCTCAGTGATATTATCCAGCAAGGTCTTGTTTTTGTCAAAACAAGGGTGAGGTAATGAAAAAATAGAAATATTTCAATAAATTAACATTAAAATTATTTATATGCATAATAAAAAAAACATGTTTTGAAATATATAAAGTGCACCAAACTTGACTCAGTCCATTCAACAATTCTAATGGACAATTATGTAACTCATCAATTAATTATTTGAAAGGATAATTTGTCAATTAAATGCTGAGAAAAATAAACAATACATTAATGAGGCAAGAACTTTTTAAACGAACATATCTACACCCACAAGTCTATTTTTACCTGGTTAAAACCATCTAGCTTATGTGCACTTTTTAAAACACTGCCCAGCAAACATTCGGACATTTAATGACAGTTGAACGGTCACAACTGTAAAATAATATCACAGGAATTAGGAAAGAATAATATCAACTCTATGTTACTTGGCTGGACTCGAACCTGGATCCTCCAGAGTGAGAGTCACCCGCTCTCACAGCTGAGCTATTCCAACAACTGCTGAATATCAGATTTTTTTATATAGATAGCTAGAGAGTAAAGTGCGGGGTGAACTAACCAATCAGAGGATAGGGAAGATCTGCCACAGGCCACGCCTCCAGAGTGCCAAAACTCCTCACAGCCGAGCGAGCGGAATTAGAAACCGAGCGCGCAGAGGCTGCCGAGCGTGCAGAGAGGCTGCCGCGCGCGCACGTTTTCCTCTGCCGTGTGCTCGTTGGCAACGCGCGCACGCAGGTTTGTCACTTGTGCACATCCTTGTGCGCTCACAGACACAGTTTGCTCCCTCTCAGTGCACAAATGACCTCTCGCCATGTATATTTTCGCTCGCGAGTCCCGTTCACACGCGCGCTGTGGACCCAATGCGCGTGCACGGGTTGTGACACGGGTCTGACGCGATAGGTTTCTTTTTCATAAAGGTTGGTTCATGCTTGACGCGTCCGTGAGGTCCGCACGGCTCCGCGCGGCAAAATTGCGTCATTTTAACAACCACGCCCCTCCACCGTGCCTTCGCACGGCCCAAAATTTCCGCACCACGCACCTAGGAAATTTTCTAACCACGTGGACGGTCGGACGCGGACAAACATGGCGGACTGGCAAGAACTAGTACGGCAGAGGTTCGTAAATACAGACATTTGTATGATTCAGCTCTCAGAGATCACCGTGATCAACATGTTGTTAATAATTCTTGGAGAGAAACAGCTCGCACTGTCGGAAAAGACGAGGACGCTGTTAAAAATGCTGGAATGCCATGTTGTAAACAGTAATTTCTACTTCTACTATGGTGTAGTGTTGGATGCATACCGTAGAGCTCCATGCTGCCCCCTACAGTTTGGGAGAATATTGGCTCACCGCAGAGACAAGCCGCATGAATCATAAACGCTGAGAGTTGTGAAGCGCGTTCCATCCGCGACCCACATCACCAAGCGGAAAGTGAATGCGTCAAGCATAAACCAAACTTAAGTCTTCCTCCTCAGGAGCTCAACAGCAGCGTGTTCAACAGCTGTCTCAGAAACAAACGCCAAGCATTCTGGTCTTTGATGGATTTTATCGTTTACTGGATGGAAATTCAGACGGATCAGTAGATTAACTCCAGATTAAGTCACCATATACTTGTTTGTTAATGAACAGGTTCTGAGTTCTTGTTCGTCAGCTGATCCTCATTATGAGAAGAACCCAAAACCTGAGGATTGTTCTGTTAGTCCTGACCCACCAGACCCGGGTTCCGCAGAACCCCCAGCGATGCTCACTCACCTTTTCTTGGCAACTTCACCATCCAAGTTCTGGACTTCCTGCTGCAGAACCCTCAGCCTCTCCTGCAAAGCTCCGTTCTCTAATCGGACCTCTTCCAGCTGAGTCCTGCAGCCCAACAAACCAACATGAGTCAGAAACACGGATTGGACCTGAGGATCCAGAATCACAGCCTCTGTGGACCAGTGACACCACGGATCAGAACAGCTGGAAGACCAGCAGGCAGAATCGAGACTCAGAGGGTCTAAAGCCCAGCCCAGAACCTGATGTCCACCTGAGGCCTCAGAACCTGCTCCTCCTGCATACAGAATCAGAAGGATTTGATGGACTAGAGACAGGCTGAGGACAGAATGTGGGACTAACGGAGGATTGGTTGTTATTGATCATGTGACTCATGCTCTCAGATCAGTCAGTTAGAGGTGCAGCGGTGCATTGTGGGAGATTCATTCTGGCTCATGCTGCGGATCGGACCAAGATGCGGTTAGTTTCATCTGGTTCTAACAGGCGGAGGTTAGTCACCATTGGACCGGGCTCTGGTTCTATCTCACAAACCTATGAGGAGCATCAGGCTCCGTCACGTCTTCCAGATCCAGAACCAGCCTCTCCAGCTCCATCAGCTGCTGAGCCATCTTCCTTTTCTCCCTGTCAAAGATCTTCTCGGTGGTCCTCAGCTGGTTCTGAGAGTCCTGCAGAGCCTGCTGCAGGAGGAGGACCTGCTCCCTGACCCGGTCCAGCTCTGTGTTCTGCGTCTCAAAGGAGGCTCTGCCTGCAATGTCGGCCCTTAGCCAGTCCAGTTCAGACGTTTTGGAGTTCAGCTGCCTGCGGAGGTCCAGAACCAGGTCGGCGGTGTCATTGAGCTGCGAGCTCAGGCCTTTGAGCTGCTCATGGAGAGAGGAGATCTCCTCCTCCATCTCCATGATCTGGGTGGAGAGCTGGTCCAGCAGGCATGTGTAGGTGCTGTTCTCCTGACTCAGACGGGTCACCACCTCCCTCTCCTCTGTCAGGCTGGACCAGAGTTGTGAGATCCGGTTCTGCTCCTGCTTCAGATCTTCCTGCAAAGTGGCTTCACTGCTCCTCCTCCTGTCCACCTCCTTGGAGACGGAGGTCAGCTGCAGCTGCAGGCCGTCCACAGCCATGGCTTGGTCCTTCAGGTCCTGGATCAGTCGGGCTCGATCAGCCTTTAAAGACTTCACTTCAGCTGTGAGTCTCTTCAGCACCTCCTGCAGCTTCTCCAGCTCTGACCTGAGGGAGGCGCTGAGGTCACCTGGCTCCATCTTCAGCTGGTCCACTTGAGCCTGAAGCTCCTCCTCCCGCCTCATGCCATCCTGCAGCTCCTCTTCCATGCTGATCCTCTCAGAGAACAGACGTTTGTTCAGAACCTCCGGAGACTCCAGGTAGGTGTTGTTCTCCTCCAGTTCCAAGCTCCTCCTCTGAGAAGCCCTCAGGTCCTCCTCCAAAGTGGCCTCTGACTGACTACATCTACGTAAGAGCTCCTGTAAACCACAGACCTGCTCCTTCAGCTGGTGTAGCTCCTCCTCCACCCTCTTCTTCTCCTCTCTGCTCAGCCTGAGCTGCTCCTGGAGCTGATGGAGGAGGTGTTGAGCATGGGTGTGCTGCTGCTGCTGCACCTGAGCGTGGAGCAGGCGTGACTCCTCCCTGAGTGACAGCTCCAGGTCAGGGGTTAAACAGCTACAAATGACTTAAAACAACCCGGACACGCCTCCAGAATCCTGCTTCTGGAGCGGTGATGCCGCCACCCACCTGACACGCATCACTTCTTGGTCCATCTTCAGCTTCAGCTCGGCCTCCAGCTGCTCCTTCTCATCACTCAGCCTCTGAACCAGATTGCTGATCTCTCTGGCAAAGTTCTGCTCCAGCTCGGCCCGCTCCCGGTGCATCCTGGGAGAAAACAGCAGAGCTCAGCCTGATAGGCACAACTCAGGGCAGCATCCCAACAAGCCAAATCCCTTTTTCTCACTTGCGCTCCTGCTCCATGCTCCTCGCCCCTCCTCCAGCTCCCTGTTGAATCTGAGTCTGCAGTTTGTCCACGGTCCCCTTCAGCTGCTTCACCTGCTGCTCTGCACGACTCTTCTGCTCCTCCAGCTCGCTGATCTCCAGCTGCAACAAAATCATGAGAAAAAACTTCATTTGCAGGAAAGAAACTGGAGTTTGGGTGTTTCATCTCCTCACCTTGAAGGCCTGAGAGATGTCCTTCCTCTCCACCTCCATGCTTTGCTTCATCATGTCCAGCTGCCTTTCATAATAATTGATCTGAGGAAGAGGAGCATCAGATGAAGCTCTTCTGCAGACCTAAGGTGTCTGTAGGTGAGTCCATGTGTTACCTGAGTCTCCAGCTGGATGTTGAGCTGCTGCACCTCCTGCTGGTGTTTCTCCTTCAGCTGCTCCACAGCCAGCTCAGTCTGGATGCTGACCGCGGGAACGGAGATATCGTCCAATGAGGACAGAGCTTAGGACACATGGACAAGGGTATGGTTCAGTCTGGAGGTCCCCAGTCCAGATGTTAGTGGCGTTGGACTGACAGCTGCATCTTGACACGAGTGTGGTCATGCCATGGTTAGCATGCTAAGGGGCGTGCCCCACTGTTTGAGAAGCACTGATTTCGACTAGCCACTAGTGCTGGTGTGTGTGTGTGTGTGTGTGTGTGTGTGTGTGTGTGTCTCACCGATTTTATTGACAGGCTGCAGTCTTTTCCTCACCGCTGGAGACGAACTTTGCTTCATATCTGAATCGTCTGATTGAACCAGCAAAACAAAGTGAGACTCAGCTGATTTTCACAAACTCAGACACACACCTGCCCTTTGTGGGCGTGGCCTAATATACCTGTACAGAGCGGTGCCGTTAAACCAGTTGGTTGGGTTTGAAGTTTGACATGTTAAAGGCTGAAACCTTCAGCTCAGTACTGACTGTAGCTTTGGGTCATATGGGAGCAGAAGGTGGCGCCACCTTCAGTCAGGAACGTGTAACTGCACATGAAAGATTTAGCCTGAAGCAGCGATTGTTCTCTTCACATCAAAAAGGGAATCCGAGCAACGAAGCAAGACCGGCATTACCCACAATGAACTAAGGTGACTGAACCGGTTTTACAATGGGAAATTCTTACAGCTTTTAGAGAAAATCCATCAACAACATCCCAGAATTAGGCTGCAGGGTTAGGGCTAGGCAACCTGCTAGTTACCACGTCCTTTAGAAACCAGTAATAACTGAAGCGTGTTCCCCTCCCCTACAGCACCCTTTGGTGTTAGCATTCCTCTGGCTAGTCTAGCAAACAGAAGGTAAGGCTGTGGTGGAGTGAAGCAGAAGGGGTAAAACAGAAAATGACCGCTGGTTTGGCACGTCCTGGACTGTTGGGTAGTGCTACACCCATTACTTCTGTCCCTTCAGCGGTTTGTTTTCCACCCCCATCAAGTGGGTTCCTCAGCCAGTCGAAGGCAATCCTTCACTTATGATACTGGCTGGTTCTAATCTCACCTGATTCTGACTCGATGTGCTGCAGACTCCAGCTCAGTTCTGAGGCGCTGACATCATTTCCTGCAGACCTTTCAGACCTCCTGCTGCTCCTCTGGATCTTCAGCAGATCCAGCTCAGAGCTCAGCTCATCATTTCTGTCCTGGAGCTCCTGAAGGCATCACATTCAGAGGTGTGACATCACTAGCAAACAGACCAATCACATGCATCTGAGGAGGCGCCCTCTCTCACCCTGCATTGCAACTCGTACTCTTTGATGATCGTAGAGAACTTCTGCTCGTGGCTCAGGTAGGTGGCGGTCGGGTCCAAACTGCCAAACTGTGACCAACAGAAAGCTGTTAGTGGTTCTGAAGCCGGCCAATCATCATCACCTTCATTAAACATTCAGCACCTACACCTAGAGCAGAAACCCAACACCACCCGGGCCGGGCCGGGCTCAGGTATCGTTAGTAACACAGCAGCAGAACTCACAACTGGACCCAGGTGAACCTGGTCCATAATCACTAAAGAAGGAGCGCTGTCTGACACTGATGGGGTCACCTTGTCCTGCAGCAGCTGCTTCAGGTCTCCCAGCAGACGGATGACTGAACTCTCAGCATCCCTCAGCTTCACATTCACAGCATCCAGCTCCTCCTCCAGACGGACCTTCTCCTGAGAGAAGACCACATGACCCAGTCATCCTGAGAAACGACCCTCCCCCCCAGGCTGCCGTGTGATGTAGATCACCACCACCCATTACTGTGTGATGGGTTGTAAAGCACCTTGGGGGGTTCTAGGTGCTGATGTATGGTTTACTCTCCAGTCGGGGTGTCGGACGGCTGTTCCAGCCTAGTGAGCTAATCCCAAAATCCAGACACCACCGTGGCTAGCCTGAAGCCCCTCCCCGTCACCATGGTAACACATGCTGGAGAACAAACCTGTGTGATGTTGCTCAGCTCCTCCTGTAGCTCCGTGTCCTTCACCCTGAGCAGCTGTAGGTCCTCCATCAATATGTGGCGTTCCAGCTCCACCTGTTGCAGCAGGACCTCACTCTCCTCCACAGACTGACAGCGCAGAGACATCAGACGCTCACGGAAGTCCTGCTCCATGTCCCTGCAGCCAGAACCACCGTGACCCATTTAAATTTAACCCTTGCTGCGCTACCAGAACATACCAAACCTCGCCTTGGTCTCGCCCCGGTTGCCTAGGAGATACGTCATCAGTAACTGCACGAGAGCTGCCCTGTAGCCTGGCCTTGGTCAAACATTTCCCAGAATACAGCGCTGCATGTTCTAAAGGATGGTGGATCAGGAGCCAGTGGGAGGCAAATATCCAGTTTAAATGTACGTGAAGTAAATGTAGCGATGGCACTGATATCCGACATGCCTTTGAGATCCAAAGCAGTTAACTGTGGCGAGCTGCTACCTGCTAGCCACTGAAGCTGTAACTACTAACCAACAGTAGTTACAGCTTCAGTGGCTAGCAGGTAGCAGATTTAGTTTGGTATTTATACAGCACTCATCACAGCCAGAACCACAGAGCGCTAGCCTAGGGAACTAGACCAAATTCTTGCTTTGCAAAGTCTGGTCTAGAAACGCTCCACTGGATCCTCTGCAGCCCCTAACAGCATTCTGGCTGGCCAATCACAGCTCTCTAGAGGGGTTTCAAACACATAAAGAGCTGTCATTGGTTCACAATGGTGGGCCAATCATAGTGCTCTATCTGCTTAGTGAACAAATCACAGAGCTTTATCCGCTTTGTGGGCCAATCAGAGCACTCTATATGCCTGGTGGGCGGGATGATGCAACAGAGTGAAGCAAGATGGCGACAGCTTGTTTGAAACGTCTTTTACATCAATTTTGGACTATTAGAACTTGGGCGTCATTAGAATCTGGAGCAGATAGATGTATTTAAGTGCTTTTTTTTTTTTTTTTAGAAAAAATTACGTGTTTTCTTTTTCTTCAACTGCAGACCGCCTCATTTACTGATAGCTGTTGCGGTGAGTGTGTCACACTCAGTGTCCAGTGGAATGCAGAGATCATTTGAAAGACAACGGTAGATCCCGCCCCACAACCGAGAGCCGTCAATGGAGCATTGCCAGACTAAACAATACATTTATTTAGTCTGGCTTGCCAGGCTAATAGAGTGCTTCACATGGATCCAAACTAGATAAATCATCTTAAAACAGATAAAGATTAACATCAGAAAACAGTCATAAAATTATAAAATACCATAAAACTGATGAAAGATGATTACAAATCTGAGTTAAAATAAGAAAATAAAAGAGTTTGGTAAAAGCAGCTTTAAATAAAAGGGTCTTCAGCTGTTTATTAAAAGTGTCTAGACTGTCAATGCTGCATAAGGATGAAGGAAGATCATTCCAAAGTCTGGAAGGAGTGATCACCTCGACTTTTATATTTGGTCTTTGGAACTCCTAGAAGGTTCTGGTGTGTGGACCTGAGGGCTTGGGTTGGAGCATAAGGCTTTAACAGTTCAGTAATATAGGGAGGAGCTTGACCATGTAGAGCCCTGAAAGTTCTAGTAAGGATTCTAAACTCTAAAGGTAACTTTAAAGTGAAAGGCTCATACTTTTATTCTGAAACTTATACGTATGAAATCTAACGTTGGCTCACACGTCACATGATGCAAGTCTGTTCCATTTAACCATTTTCTTTGACCAAGGAAGGACAGTGTCCTCATAAGAAAGGCACCTGGCCTAGCAAGACATCACCTTGCTAGGCCAGGTACCTTGAATTTAGGAAACACCAACTGAGAACTCAGGCTCCCAGAATTCTTTGTACACATTCCAAACCACAAATGACTCAGCTGCTGCAGCTCTGAAGAAGAAGCACCAAGCTCTAGTGCTCCAGAAAAGATAGTTGGAATAGGAGAGTTGTGATGAAGTGGTCTAACCTGATCCTGCTCTCGTTCATCGTCTCCATGTTGGTGTGGTGGTCGTCCACCTCTCGGATCAGCTGCAGGTTCCTCTGGTCTGCCAGGTCCAGGTCTGTCTTCAGCTTGTCCCGCTCCCGGCAGGCTCGCTCAGACATCTCCCTGCAGACAGACCGGACAAGAACATCACCTCCGTTTCAGTCCAACAGGCAGAACATCACGTCACATCAGGGCAGAACCTACAGCAGGTGCTGGATCTCGTTCTTGTAGGAGATCAGCGCCACCTGGTGGATCCCGTTACCACTGACCAGCAGCTCATTGTCCAGCGCCAACGTGAGATCTGACAGACTGAGACGCTCCTCCAGGGTGAAGTCTAGAGTCTGTAGGACACACACACACACACACACACACACACACACACACACACACACACACACACACACACACACACACACACAGGTTAAGAAACACTGTAAAGCGTCACATTCACACGTTGGACATTAAACTACATTTATGTTGTTTCTGTAACAGTAATTATTGGAAAGACCTAAATGAACATGACAGTTTGTGCCTCTCAGTAATAAAGTAAAGAAATCAGCTGTCAGTCACTGCCCAAGCACCACCTTCTCAGCCTGCCAGGCCACGCCCCTTTTGCTGTTGTTTTCAAACATGAAGAGGGGTGGAGTTATCCCAGGTTCACACTGGAAGCATCAGCGGTGCAAAATGGCTACGGAACGGCTAAAGCCTGATTCTTACTACGTCTTCATAAGCTCCAGGGGGGAGAGACACGCATGTAGACTTCGCTGTCTCCTGGGGAGTGTAGCAAAGCTACCCCTCCAGGACACCAGAGGGCGTAGCGTTGTTCGGTGGTATCCTGCCATGTAGCTAGTACAATATAGTGTGTTTATGTTGTGTTTTTGTATTTAAGAGACTTTTAACACGGATACATTTGTCCCTCATCCTCCTCCACTTCACTCCTCCAGTCACAGGGAAATAAAACATTCATATTTTTATGAGTTTTTCCATGAAGCGTTCTACAAGCTTCTCTGTGTCTGCTGCTAGTCATCCTCGGCTCTCTTTATTTTTTGAGGCGCAATGGCAACTCTATAGACGACAGCAGCATCCTGACCAATCACAAGCTTGTGTTCTCCTTCTCAACGGATGGATATTTAGAAAAGAGAGCTCAACTCCGTCTGTCCAAGCAAGCCCGTCGAAGAGCCGTCAAAAGGACGGATAAAGCCTTGTGCGTGTCCGTCCTGACGCAGATGGATAAATTAGGCTTTACTCGCAAACTTCAAAGCAGTTCTTCTCACACCAGGAGAGTCTTGGCAGCGGCTCGGCGTCCTCGCTGGACTCACCAGATCACACCACCCCTCCAGACTTCAGGTCACAGTTTGTTTATGCAATCCGCCATTAAACCAAAAAGAAGAAAATCACAATGATATTGCCGTTTGATGTCATATATGATGTTGCTCCTCTCCACTTCCAGGATTAAAACTATGAAAACACACAGCTGCACTTCTGGAACAATGCCGGGAGTCAATAAACAGTTGGGTCACACGTGAGCTTTATATGTATGAAAATGCATCGCTGCAGTACTTTTATTTAGAAAATCACAGAGGATTTTACACTAAAAAAGTGTGTGATTTCCTGTCTAGCTCGATGTCAACTGCAGAAATTGACGTGTCTCAGAAGTGGCTCGCGGCAAAACTAGAACCCAATCTGTCAGGTATTAGCATGTTAGCCACTGGTTAGGGTTAATTAAGTATTTCCTGTTACATGTATTATGTTAGCAGCGGTAAGCTAGTTTAACATGTTAATGATACGGGTCCATCCCAGAATAAAGCTGATACATAATTATTAATAATGTTGGCATCAGTGGAACCAAACGCTCCTGGCTGCAAATTAAGATTAAACACAACAAGGATGCAAATCCAGTTGGAGCTCCTGTTTTAACTCCACAGTTAATAATTCAGCCATCAGGAACAAAGCTGCAGCTACCGCTGTGGGCCAGCGGTGGCGCTAATTCACCACCTCGTAGCTGCCAGCCACCCACAAGAAAAAGGTGATGTCACTTGTCTCTCGTCCAATCATGTTCACAAAGCTTCAGCTAGCCTAGCTGCTTGCCTGCCACGGAGCAGGTTTGTTCTCCAGCATGTGTTACCATGGTGACTGGGAGGGGCTTCAGGCTAGCCACGGTAGTAGAACTGATTTAGGGAAAGTTAAAACGGGAAACTCACAGGAAAGCCTGGTTTTGGGATTAGCTGGCTACGAGAAATACCCCAACGTCTTTAAATCTGATGTTCTGGTGGTTTGAAACCATTTTGGACTTCCCAGCAGAACCCAAGAAGGTGGTTTGGCTGAGACAGAATAAAACAATCTGGTTGTTCTGAGAGTAACCTGGTGTGATGTTCCTGAACAGCCGGGCAGAACTCCAACAGCCAGATAAACTAATGTTCCTTCCTGCTGCGAGTCAGAACCTCTCATGTTCATAAACGGGTCCGACCAGAAAAACTCTCTAGCTCCATGAATGGTCCACTGGAGCAGGTTCTACTTCAGCCAGAAAGTTTGTCAGAGTCCATCCCCAGAGCTTCCGCTTAGGGCTGGGCAGTAGAATTTAGGGTTAGGGTTTGTGAAGACAAGCCTGCAGATGACAGAGGCCCTAACCTGCAGGTCTTCAGATCAACACATCCCAACTGTTCTCAGGGTCAGGGTTTTACTGTAGTATTTATTCAGTTTCTCAGCAAACCATAACAACTTCAAGTACTTCTTATTTTGTTTGCAGTTTAATTCAAAGATACTTTATTAATCCCAGGGGGAAATTAAGAGTTTCAGTACACACAATTCTGAGATCAGACATACATGGCCACAGACACATGACAAGAATTGGTGACGGTGGTCATTCGCAACCCGAGTCGTACTACCTTAATAGAGATCAGAGGGTTTACATGAGGACTGAGTCAGGTGGAGGAAAAAAGGCACTTCAGAGTTACCCTCCACAGGGAGGGCAGCTTTGCCATGCAAAAAAACACCTCAGACAGAAATGCAACAGACTTCAGACATTACACAACATAAGTGTCCACTAGGTGGGGAGGTAGGACCACACGTCAGTGCATGCAGCCACGATAAGCGGCGCTCGTCACCTCCGTTTGGACAGGGAGGGGAGGTTGTAGGATTTAGAGAGCACAGTGACCCCTGGAACGATTCATCGGCCTTCTCCGGTCGCAGTCCCGCCTAGGCTGGGATAGGGACACAGTTGCCATGACAACAGCATTACCTTTTTCCACATTTCTTCTGAGGGGGGAGTATTTGCTTCAGCCTCACAGGCTCAAGGGCACCAGATTCAGATAAGAAATTGTTTTGGGGCCAGACAGAGATAATTTCTTCTCTGTCTTAGAGTTCCGTTGGTCCTCAATCCCTCTGAGTCCAATAATGGCGTAATTAATCTATCCCAATCCGCGCTGACCCGTCAAATCTATCCTTGATGGCATCAACCTTCTGTGCCAGAGTCTGAATCTCAGCCAAAGTTTCAAGCTTACGACTCATCTTGACAATTATATCAGTCTGTCGGTTTACAGCGCGGTGTAATCCATCTCTGAGCTCCGGGAGCGAGCCAATATTCCTCGACAGCGCGTTAATTTTCCAGTAAGCCAGGTAACCTCCCAGGCCAAAGAGCAGGAAACCTGACACCAACACCATGAATATCCAGACATCTTCAGAATCCTCTACAGACAGCTGAGACAGGCAGACCAAGTTCCACTGTTTCCAGGAGTCCAAGATATGCCCAACTGGCTCTGTCCCAGAGGGGGCGCCCGGGAGCCCCCTCTCCCGTTCTCATCGTTGAAAAAATTTTGTCAATCTCGTGAGTGACCAACTGACCAGGTCCATTTTAGTAATTTCCAGTTTCCAGTTTTCCAGAAAAAATGCAGAAGAGTCGTACACCCAGAGACAGACAAAGAGCCTTGGGATAAGATAGGGAGGAGAGGAGGAAAAAAAGCGTCTGTACTTTCCAAGAGCCGGAAGAAGAAAGTAGAAAAAAAAACTATTGAGATAGCAGTTCAACGAACCCATCGGAAGGTTGCGGGTTCAATCCCAGCTTAGACAAGAGAATGCTGCTGTTGTGTCCTTGGGCAACACACTTAACCCACTTTACCTGCTGGTGGTGGTCGGAGGGACCAGTGGTGCCTGTGCTCAGCAGCCTCACCTCAGTCAGCGAGCCCCAGGACAGCCGTGGCTACATCGTAGCTCGTCACCACCAGGGTGTGAATGGGTGAATGATTGTGTTGTAAAGGACCTTGGGGGGCTGTAAAACCCTAAGAAGGTGCTACACAAATACAGGTCATTTGCAATCAACACATATGGGTAAATAATACTATCAATAAAATTTGCTGTGGAGCAACTATGCTGCCAAAGCCCCATCTAGTGGACAACTGCCGCTATCGCATGTACGGGCAGTTTTCATTAATATACCAATACCACATCACCCAGCCCTTCTTCAGCTGGATCTCCTCCGGTCACACAGAGAACTCCTTCAGCACAGGCGGCACAGCTAGGGGTTGCTAAGGCAACAGCAAGATTAGGCCAACCAACAGCTTAGACTCTGGCGATCCTGGGTGCTCCTCCGTCCGGACTTGGCAGGTCCGGAGTGCATGGAGCGCTCCTGAACCAGCAAGACAAAAAAATGTGAGGACTGCTGACAGAGAGATGAGCCCCATTAGAAAAATGCTGTCAGAGAAAAGACTTGTGGGTCAAAGCCAGACTCACAGTCGAGTCACGGCGAGTCTGCAGAAAGTCTGAACATTGGTCAAAAGCAGGTTTTCCAGTAATTAGACAGGTTCATGCTAAAACCCACAGAGGAGGAGCTGGGTTGTGTTCTAAGATTAGATCTGACGTTTTCAGAGACTTCAGTCAGAGGTTTTGGTTAGGTGTGGGCTAGGGTTAGGGTTCGTTGTCCTTTTAGGATACATACCATTTTGTTTCTAAATTAAAGGTGTGGATCATTTGTTTATTCCATGTATTTGTGGTGGTCTCTCGTAGGAATGCCTTGTAAGTGGTAGTCGGGGGGGACATCTAAAATCCTTTTAGCTAGGGTTACTCAGAACCTGAGGTACGCTGTGGTAATGGGAGAGAAACCGGCCTGAATTCAGACATCACACCTTCTTTCTACTTATGCTTTACTTCACTTTGCTGCATTAGAATTTCATGTTGTCCCACATTAGGTTAGACTACCCCCCCCAACCATTCAGTCTCAGACATGCAGGACCAGAACTTGTGGTCCAAACTCACCTGCAAGATCTCTCGGCTGTTATGGATGCCCTCCTCGGTCCACAGCGCCACAACCTGCTCTGGGCTGGTGCACCCTGACCCGTCGTCCAGCCGGCTGAGAACTCTCTGACCCACGGTGGCCATCAGCAGGGAGGGGGAAGCAGAGCGGGCCAATGGCTCCTCCAGAACCTCCTGGGCCTGCATGGAGGACTAGAAACAGGAGTCAGAGTGGTTTGTTGAAGTAAAACCTCAGGAATGAGCAGAATTTACAGAATTGTGATGTTTAATCTGGATTATCCCACACTGACTCAGAGCCACAAACACCAGAGCCAACCAGCAGAGGACCTTCTGACTCCAGCAGCAGCAGCTGCTTCACATTTATAATCACTGGCTTTCCTCCTGGGGAGAGCCTTCATATTGTACTTTCACAAATGAAAACTGTTTTGGTTTTAGCAGCTTTTAGTTCACAGTTAATAACGTCTGTTGGTAAATATTGTTAACTGTTGACGGTGCTGATGTGTGCTGATATTTGGACAGAACATGCAAGTAATTTTATCACTTGTTTTAATATCATTCAGAACCATTTTACAGACCGCAGAATCAACAATAAAATGTTGAGATTAAAAGTGAAAAGGAGGTTTTGTCCCCTTCCAGTCAGGCAAAAAACAAACATTTGGAATGTTTATGGAAAATTTGATCTTCAATATCAGAACCAAATCTTATCGTTTCTTCTTTTACCCAAAATGAAAGAAGTTCATATTAACTGCTCCTGGATCTCTGGGACTTGGAGCTCCCTCCATCTCCTACACATCTTTGGGGGGGGGGGGGGGGGGGGGGGGGGGGCAGATCTGTGGCCCCTCACACTCTCTATTGGACGCTCCTATAGAGAAACCTTACATATACAAGCGCATGTACACACACAGGTACTCTCATAAGTATGGACTTGGGCACGTTCAACACATGTCTTAAGGCCGTGGTTGACAGTAAATGCACTGTGATTTATTATCGTGTGATTGTTCAGTAAATCAATGTTGATTTTATATTTCCTCATCAAGTTGATGCAGTGATAGCTTGCTCCTGGTGTATTGTTGTGTTGTTTTTCTCTTTCTGCAGGTCTAGAAGCAGACTCTTGTTCATTTTTTTTATTTAACCAGGATAGAGACCCATTGAGGTTAAGAACCTCTTTTACAAGGGTGTCCTGGCCAAGAGGCAGCAAAAAATAAAAACTGTTAAAACTTAAGGACAATGATAAAAACACTCAATCATTAAAAGCAGTTACAAGTTACTAATGCAGTCTCTGAAGCTTTCAGTTTGGTTTTAAAGGCATGTAGTGAAACCTGCTCAGTCATTTTCCAGGTTTTCTGCAGCTGGTTCCAAGCAGAAGGAGCAGAGCAGGCGAAGGCTTTCTTTCCTAACTGTGTGCGAGCAAAAGGAACAGAAAGTAGCAACTGATCGTTAGACCTTAAAGAATAGGAATCAACATTTTTTCGTGTGATTAATGTGCAAATATAAGGAGGTAACAATCCAAACACTGCCTTGTAAATAAAAACATACCAATGATTGATGAACAAGAGTCCCCCCCGTTTCTTCCTTTCTCTTTCACCTCTGTCTCCGTATCTGGTCGGAATTATAACGGGCTCGACACACGGGAGGCGACATCGCCTCTCCTCCATTCATTTTCAATGAGACATGCGCAACAAAACAATAATCGCGGGTCTCCCTCCTACCAAGCGAAACGCGAAAAACGTGCGTGTCAAATTTTGCGCTCGTGCACGTGTCGTGCACAGGCGACCCAGCGACGCGATCCCAGAATTTGAAATACCGTAAATCCTCTAATACAGGCCTGTATTCAATTAACGGCCGGGTCTCCAATTTTTTGCCGGTGTCGGAGTCGGCGGAGGTGAATAATGGCCGGTCTCTTATTGTGGCCGGGTGGAATGTGGTAACAAGCAAGTACGGGGGCGGTTGTGTCATCGTCTCACTTTTGATTTGCCAGTGATAGACCGCAAGGGTAACTTTAACCGTGCGGAGACGAAGAGGAGGTGAAAATTTGATATCAAGTTCAAAGAGAACGTGCGCTGCAGAACACTGGGGAGCAATAGGGGTTGTATGAACTAGTCGACTTCACTATAGTGACTTTTTATGCCTGTCATCGACTAGTCGCTGTCACGTGATAATGACCGGCAAGATGCAGCCCTCGGAAAAGACAGCAGCCTGCTGTCAGCAGGTGACAAGCTCCTGCGCTCGGGGGCGCAATGCGCTGTGCCAGAGCGTCGGTACTGACACCCGATCGTTCATGTCGGTTCATTTCCTTTAATGTTTTCTGTCTTTTATTTGCGCCTGATGTGTTTCGCTGCTGTGGAGCGGGGCGCATCACCTTGTCATCCGGTGACGCACCGATCACTGATGCGGCCACCAAGCAGCGAGCACTCCACTGTTTTTGCAGTTGGTAGATCTTTTAGAACTGCAGTTCAAAGGTAACTCATAAGGTGAATATATATGAACCCAGGTAGCAGTTTCTCTTTAGGATTGAGAGGAGATGAAGGAAGATAATAAACAGACAGGACAGAAAAATAGTCAAATAAAAACAAGTTAGTTTTTGTACCTGCTGGTTGCAACAAACAGACACCATTGAAGGTAATCAGAAGTGAGGAACAGAAAATGAAATAATTATTTTAATGTTTAGAGGAGGGGCGGTGTTAGGCCCGGCTACTTGGGCTGAAGCCCCGGATGGTTCATGGAAAGCCCCGGATCTAAATTGCGGAAGTAACATGCAGTACCAAAGTCCAACAGAGAGGGAGCAGCTGGCAGTAGTTTGTATACAGCCTGCCTGAGCCTCCACCACTGAAGAAGCCCTTCAGCAGCCGGCTTCTTCTGCAGTCTCTGCCTGAAACGCATGTGAAGATGGACATAAGGACGTTTTTTAGACCAAAAGTACAACAGAACCCCAGCTTTGATGAGACTGGTGTTGACTCAGGTTTGTGAGTCTTATTTGAAAATATTTGTTGTGCTGCTGGTTTGCCTAAAGTTAGCTAACTATCAGGTTAAGTTGTTGGGGAAAGAAAGGGAATATTTACTATCATCTCACACTAAACACTAACAGGAACAATACTCTGCCCTGAAAATGCTTAATATGTAGCTTCAGATTACAAATTATGTGGTACAAGACATATATGAAGTTGATAAGTGCGTGTCACGCGTGTGTGTGCGCGCGTGCGCGTGTGTTAAGCCCTGGATGTTCTTCAGTCCTTAATCCGCCCCTGGTTTAGAGCAGCAGGAACTCCGAGAGGCTGCAGGCGCATCAGTGAGTTTGCGGCCGCTGCGCAGGGGGAGGGGAGAGATGGTTGAAGCAGAAACTACGGTTGTTAAAAGAAATGTGTTTAACTTTGAAAATGTGGGCGCAATTTTAATTGTCAAAAACTCCAGCGAACCATTAGTTCATTTTGCTCAAATAGAAATAGAGGCCTGCCTCTTATTCTGGCCCTCCTTCCAATAAAGGCCTAGAGCTTGATGGGCTTGAGTCAAATACAGGCCCGGGCCTGTATTAGAGGATTTACGGTATTTTCAACTTTTCATCGCTGTCGCTCAGACGAGGACCAATCAACGGAGGTTTCATTCACTGACCAATGAGCGGACAGGATGCTCCGTACATCTCCGAGCAAACATGGAGGAGAAGTTGATTATTATTATGTTTTAAATAGTAAAATCAGAAGTAAGATTTCACATAACTCTAGCAGCACCTTGTGAAACATCATATCTACCGCTTTATTAACTGAACCGCTTAAATAACCTTAATTCCCTCCAACCTGACACAGCCAAACAAATCAACGGATCGGATCTTTTTCTTACCTTTTCAACCATGTTTAATGACAAGTTTCATTCTGTAGAAAGTGTAAATGCAATTTTTGCATATGTATAATATTCTGAACAGTTTACAGATGTTTTAAAAGGAGACATGTATGCCGCGTTAAATAATGGGCAGCTGCTCAGGCCTGGTAGGCCCCACCCACAACGCCACAGCCGCTGTGGCTCCCAGTGTTTTCTTTACTGTTGGAAACGGGTAATAATGCCTCTTTGATGGGAAAAGGTTGCCGACCCCTGCACTAGGATGAGGCACTTTGGAGTCCTCCGATGCAGAAAAGCACACTTTTTCAAACTTTTATTTACTAACCTCCTCCTTTCCGCCTTGCTTCTATCTGTGGTCCTCCTTGGTAGTGTACTGGCTACCATCTCTTATGATTTCCAGACTCTTTTGTCCTTCCGTTCATCTGCGATCACCCAAGATGCACCGAGGATTTACCTCCCTGTTTGTTTATGTGAGCAGCGCGCTGGCCCAGAGCCAAACACTGATTCCTACCCAAACGCCTCCAGCGATGTTTATCCGGTCGCGAGAAAACATAGGAGGAAAAGGGGTTACACGAGCAGGAACCCAGGAGAGAATAAGACTTCTCTTAAAGCATGGTTTATCTAGTAAACATCAGTGTGATCTTTTAGCTTATTTTCCTTTGTTTGGCGACCAGAGCACCACTTCCACATTCCCCCCAGGCTGTGATGTGACAGTTTCTCCATTCAAGTGTTCTAAGGTCTGTTTATCCTCAATCCTGTTCCCTCCATGAGTGGTTTTTATGAACACCATGGATCTAATCCTGCGAACTTACGTTCACTAACTCCAGCTGGTTCTGTAGTTTCTGATTCCTCCACCTCACTCAGCATGGCCTTATTGAACACCCGCTCTGTTAAGAATAAGACCTTCCTGCTCAATATCTAATTCTCTCTAAAAACCTGGATTTTCTGTTTCTGACTGAAGTTTGGCAGCAAACATCTGATTATTCTGGTCTGATTGAACTCTGCCCGAGTGGTTATTCTTTTCTTAGCCAGCCCCGGGGTTCTGGTTGTGGTGGAGGCCTAGCTGTTGTTTTCAGAGACCATCTTCCTTGTAGTTCCACAACCTCTGGTAACTTTGCTTCCTTTGTATTGCAGCTGATTAAAGTCGGGCGTAAGGACCCATTTCACTGTGCTGTGGTTCATCGTCCACCTGGTCCAAACGGTTCTTTCCTTCAGGAGTTTAGTGACTTTCTATGCTCCACTGTGAAGCTGTCCAGACTGGTGATTGTTGGTGACTTTATTATCCACGTTGATGATCCATCTGATCACTTTGCCATGAATTTCTCCAGCCTAATGGACTCCTTCAGCTTTACCCAGCATGTTTC